GATATTTTCTATATCGATTGATCATAGACTGACCAATTTCGAGAAGTCTGACGAAAAATCCATATGTTCAACACCATTAATTAATTTTTCACACTTATCACATTGATCACTACGGGTATCAACCAGTTTGCATGCTACATCTGAACATGTACTAGCCACATAGCGATCTGTAAAAAAACTTCAAATACATCAATATATAAAAAATTAGGAAAAAGTATGCAAGCAAATTCTATACCGTTAGCATGTGTCATAATATAATTGTTCGATGTTATTATTAAAAATGAAATTTCGTTTATATAATTTTGAAAAATATCCTGAGCAATTCTAAAATAGATAGTCCAATGAATTATAAAGAACAGGTACTTTTCTTTCTAATATAAAAATCTTACTCAATCTTTTTTTGTGTTGCAATTCATCCAAAAAACATTAAAGCCTAATTGAAACAATCTATTATTTTTTTTTATGTAAATCAAAATATTTATCGCACGTTAAGTGTTGTAGCTTTTCAGCTGACAATACCTTAAATTTAATATTAACAATGAAAAAATGAATAAGAAATTGTTTAATTTTATCGAGCAAGAAAATATCAACACTTATTAAAGATCTAATAAAAGAATATTAAAATGAGGTGCATCGTTGACATAAGATGAAGCACTTGTGATCATAATATTTCGAACATCAGGTTTTGGTGTTCTATGAACAAAAAAATAATAATGAAACTGCTAGTGCACTTGGTGACGGATTAAAGTGTGAAACATGATGTAGCTGCTGGTACTAATCACAAGAAGATTGTTTTATTCAGTCTAATTTAAAAGGGATTTCTTCATCATTCTGTTACTTTAATGCTCCAGAAATGCAATAAAGAAGTAATTAACTAGACGGTATTGGGACACAGTCTTTGATCGTATATTAACATGGCCTGTCGTTGTCTCTGATAAAACAGAGAGAGGTGCAACTAAAAGAGTTCGTCATCAGGATTAGTAGGCTCGAAGATATTAACGTAATCACTTGAATGAAGATTTGTGAAAAAATCAAAATGTCCAAAACCAGATTTCTCGTATCTATTCGAAGGTTTTGAGAAAAATTCTTATTGTATAGAGCGCAATGAGACGTCTCCGATCTCTTCATGAACTTCCTTCATCCAGTTGTCTTTCGGACTCTCCATAAATTGAAAACAGATCGATGAAGGAAGTACCTGGAGAGTTCGGTGACGTCCTATTTTGCTCTATCAAAGAAAAATTTTTTCGAAGATCTTAATTTCAGCAGTTCTGTTGAAGTCTTCGGATCTGCTACTGCTAATAGAGAATTGTTTTAGCTACACAAATGTTTTATATTTCAACAATAGATGAATCATTTCTTACATGTTTTTATTCGATTTTGATTTATTGAACGTCGATATTGCCTTTGATCATTGATCCAAATCTTTCTCAACTTCTTCTGGCGATTCATAAAAATCAATTTCTTCTATGGATGTCATTATTTGAAGAAAGGTTGTATAGAAAATATATTTTATTTTTATGTCATTTTATAGTGTGATTTCCAAATAATACGATGCAATATAAAATATGAGTCATTCATTTATCGTAAAATTGCATTATTTTCTTCTTTCTATTATCAGTTCTTATTTTAGATTACATCTAATAAATACACATAGGACAAAAAAAGATAACATACTATGATCCAAAACAGTATCCTACAAGATTATTCCGAAAACTTGGTTGATCATCGAAAAGAAACAAAAAATAATAATAATATGTCAAGTTTTCTGTTTTGAGTAAAACAAAGATACTGATTTCTTTATCAGTTAATACATTCATTGTAAAAGTATAGAAATCAAATGGAAAAAACTAAAGGCAATATTCAACGAACTTACGTTCTTGAATGGATTGCATAAATAGCGAAGAATCCAAATGATGAACAGTTTTCATGGACAAATCCTAAAGAAAACAAATAGATGAATGAATTCGGAATTGAAAAAAATATTGTTAAATTCTTTTGGAAAATAGACCATATCAATCAAAACAGAGCAAACAAAAATTCAATCTGAAGTAACGATATGCTTTTCAAATGAGACGGTGTTCATTTGATGAGTAATAGAAAAGTTCAGAATAGTTTTGCTTTTCGGACCTTCGTTGTTTTTCAACGGAAATCTGTAGTCCTACTCAGGTCACGTGAAAAATCGACTTTCGAAATCAAATTTTGCATGGACACGAGAATAATTCTTTTGGCGAATTGTAAATTTTCTATAATGACGAATCTCATTAAGAACTTTGTTTGTGCAAAGTTTGAAGTCGAAATTCTATTTTCTAGATGACCTGAGAGGAACTATATATTTTTATGCTGAAATATTCAGTAAAATTTCGATATGTGGAGAACGAAGATTCGGAGCAGCCATATGTCGTCAGTCAATTTTTCATATTCTCATCTGACGGTTGTTCTTCGATAGATGGGAAAAGTTCTTGATAAGATTTTATTTAAAACTTGATCTCGTCTTTTTAACATCTAAACTAAAAAGTAAGAAAAATTTTGATGATGTGTTGAATAATATTCAATGATGAACTTTGTTGAGGAATTACATTGAACATCTAATTATATCCTACTTTTGCAGATTGCGACTGTTCAAAATGAGGAAAAAGTTTCACTTTTCTTCGAGAATATCAAAACATTTGAAGTTCTTTTCTCGAAGAATACTAAGATTTTTCTTGAGATAAGTACCGAGTACTTTCTTGCACCAAAACTATTATACTAAATTTGGCATACAAATGACATTGAAGAAAAACGAAAGATTCCCACAAGTGCTTTATACTAATTTTTCTGATACAGGTATTTATTTCAGCATGACTTCTACTGTAAAGTGTTATAATAAAATATTCCTTCCTGTTTTGGATATTTATTAGGTAAAACAATAAATTTCGAAAATATGTGTTCATGAGTTATTTCTAATTTAAACATTTCATAATAGAAGTAGATGTTTGAAACAACTTCAAACTGAAATCGATACAAAAATTTTATTCGGCTCATTCTTTTCTTTTTCAACTCAAAACCTAACTTTATAGCATGAAGTTAGTTCTATAGAATTCCTTATCTAATTATATATTTACATAGCAGAAAAACATCGTCAATTTAAACAAGTTATGAATGATGAAAATATTGATTTTGTTTAGTGCAAACATCAATTAATGCAAGTTTAACTCAGCACTACATAAAGGAATAATTAGTGTCAAAGCTTTTGTATCCTACGTTATCTTGATAACTTTAGAGATGATTATTGAATTGTTCATCTATGAAATTTCTATTTGAGCTTCAGTACAGTTAGTTTTTGAATTACTTTAAAAGTAATTTAGTAGAAGTCACTTTTATTTTCCTTGTAGCTACGCTTATTAAACCTAACAATAATTCTTATTTAGTTTATTTTTTCTCATGATTTAATATATCACTACAGTCGAAACAACGAAAAAAAAATACCAATCAGAATATTCAGTCACTGAACTATTTCTTAAGTTTTTATAAAACAAGATAGACAACAAGAAAGAATAAATAATGTGTTTGAAACTTTTGACTTGATAGTAAATGAGATATCACGACGAGTTTCACTATTAGATCAGAACTTTATGAGCACACGCATTTTCGATTCGTTTCAGTTGTTAAATGAGTCAAAATTTTCTGAATATTTTTAGTTTAATTATGAAAAATTCTCATTTGAAATACTTACTTGTCTTCATAATAAACTCATTTGTTTACTTGAATCGAGACTATTCGACCATTCCTGTTCTAATAAATGAATTGAACAATTAATTTTTTTTTTTGTTAAATGTTTGTTAGATTCTAAATTAAATAAAAAAAGTTCCACTTACTCGTTTCTTTGCTTTATGAAGACCACTAAAATTTAAACATATAATAAGTGAAGACTAAAATAAAAATTGAATATTACAGTTTTTTTTAAGTTACTTTATCAATTAAATAAATTCATCGGTTTTATTATTTTCATGATGTTGAAATCAATGATAACGATGAAGATACATGTATGACCATCAATTGAACAAAGTATTCCAAATTGTTCAGTTTCTTTAATTAGAAAAATTTTATTTAAATAAAAAATAGAGATTGTGTCAATGCAACTCATTCAAGATTATAATGTAAAACTTACATGTATTCTTTAGTCTCATTATACTCATACAACATACTTGAAATGAAAAATTTCTACCAGACTATGAGGGGTCAAGAGAAATCGAATTTTAGTCAATTTTTCTTTTAAAGTTACTATGATTTTCATATGTTTTCATTTTTGAATATCTTAACTTCTTTTGGATGAGTTTCCTTCGCGATTCTCGAAAAGGATGTGGGTACTGGTATAGAGAAAACTATTCCAGAATTGAATCTTATCATATCTAAAAACGTCTTCAGTATTTTTTTTTATTTATACGCTTAAAGTCGTAGAATATTTAACTATAACTTTCAGTTGCAGTTGGAACTACCGGTTTTTCTCATAGTTGCTACTATTAATGTGAAAGTCTATAATGACCATATTCATAAATGATCACCAACAAGATGCCTTGAGAAAATGTGAAATAAATTCTAATGAGAATATTATGAATACGAATCTGACAAACTTCCAAATTTTCGTCTCACATATCTTTAAAACTTACATTCACTCTATTTTTCTTCAAAAAAGATGTGAGTTCCATAAAAAAAAACAATCAATAATAGTATCATCAATTGTTAATGATAATGGATTAATATCAAATAAACTTTGAATATTCCTTAATTGAATAAGTATAATATGTTTTTATACCGAATGTTTTCCACATATGTTCAAGACAATCGAAGAAAAGAATAACAAATTAAATGTGTTCGTATTATTGTTAATTCTTGTGAAAGTTCAATAAATTAAAATTTTTCTATATAATCTCGATATGCATCAAGGAATTCTGACTAAAATTTAACAACAATATACTTAATACTGTCGAAATGGTTTTCTTACTCGACAATTATCAACACGGTTAATCCACTGAATTAATTAATAATTGATAATCAATATATGCTGTTGATATAGATTTAAGTAAACGTTGAATAGGTCTTATCATGATAATGCAACAAAATATTGTTTACCTAATTGAGTTTTATGTTTACGAATCTATTTGAAAATAGTTTTTATTTTGTTACATTATCTATTCAATGAAATAAAATTACCTTATGATAAGTATAACAACGAGTATTCATTTTTTTTTAAATCTAATGTATGAATCACATCCATTGTTTTAGCATAAAGTGTTCTAAAATCTATTAGAAAAAACTAGTTCATTCGAAAATGAAGAACAGTGTCCGACAATTTAGTACGAGAAGAATTTCATTATAGTCTACGAAAACTGAAATACATCAAAAACATCAAATCTCGTTAGGCTCGATATATTTTTTTTCTAATGGTTTTATTCGACTGATAAACAACAAGTAGAAAAAAATTTATGCTTTCTTTTTCAAAACTATTATTTGATTATTGAGAAGTGAGTTCATATTCAGACTTTGCTATCGTATTGAACAATCAAACAATGTTTGTAGAAAAAGTATACATAGTTTTTTTCTTAAGTATATGACCAGTAAAGCCTTAGAAAAAATATCGAACCTGTGAGATTAGATCATTTTATAATATATATATGTATATTTTTTTTTTGTAAATCTAGCTTTTCCGATAATAACATTGTTCAAGTCTATTAGCAACAGAATATTTTCACAAGTAACTCAACAGACGCTATAATTTTTTTTTAACTAGTAAAATATATTTCATTGAATACTTATCTTACTTGAAAAATATTTAATAATATTGTAAAATTAATATTAGTTTTTATTCGATTTCTCTTATATTCCATTCCAATTAAATACTAATTATATATGTTAATATTTTGTTCTTTATAACAATATTGTCATCTAGTACATGCTCTTTTTTATTAATATTAAAATGTTTCCGAATTTGGTATAGTATTAATCATATGTTGATGATGAAAATAATAATAATGAAGAAATCTGACGATGTTGTTGTTTAATTATTAGTTAAATTAATTGTACACATGGATTTATCAACATTATTCATTAAACATAAAATTCTCCACATCACTAAAAATATTATTATATATACATTTTTTAATCTTTTTTCTTTATTGATTAATACATACTTGTACCTGAATAACAAATTATTGATCTTGATGTGTATAGAATAGATATGTCGATATAAATAAATTTTTATTCAAAAGAAGAATATATATTGTTTCATTCTTTTCTGTTATAGTAAATCCACATAACAAAGAAAGATTTTTTCAAACTTCTGTAATGAATTATTTTGATCTAAAATTTTGTTGATATTTAGATATGTTCATCCAAAAAGAATATTATTGTAAAAATTTAAGTGTTTGAAAACTTCCATTGTTTTGTTCTTTTTGGACAGTCTATGGAATTGAATCAACTTTTTTAACATTAAGTATGTCTACTTAAGTAATAGTTCGTCTGATGTAATATATTTTGTATTTTATCATAACAAATAAAATAATTATACATAAATGTTGTTATTGAGTATCATTAATAAAAATAAACAAAACAATTCCATTTTCATTCCAAATGAGATACAATCTAAAAACAAATTCATAAATAAATCATTATATATGTTAATGTTAACAAGAGAGAATGGAAAGAAAAAAGAAATATATGTGAAGAGAGAAATTTTCTTTTTCTTTTTTGTCTTTCTCTCGTCCATAAATCATTGTTCATGTTGTCATCATTGACGATCAATGATCAACATGTACAATTAAATATGTATATCATTTTCAACGAGAGAAAAAAATGATTTTTCAAGGTATAAATACGAATGATTTTCTATGTAAAATCATTCAATTTTTTGAATCAAATAATAATAATTTTTCTTTTCTGTTTTAGATTGGCTTCAACCAAACAATATGAAACAATTCAACAACAAACCAGATAATAAAATAAAATGTAGGTATTAGTTTTACTTTTTTTTAATTTTTTTTTCTTTTACGATCATAAGGATGGTGGGGTAAGGCCTCCTTTGATCTTTTTATTGTTTTTTTCTTATTTTAGGGAATAAACAAGAAAGAAAAAGGTAACATTAGGGTAAGTCATCTCATTCTATTTCATTGAATAACATTGATTAAATTTTTTTTTCTGTTCCTTCCAGCTATCAATATTATCGCGTCATCAACATCAGACACGGTAAGTAATTTTTTTTTTTTTTGAGATGAGAATAGGTAGTGAGATTGAGAGGTTAGGGTGAGACTAAGAAAAGTGAGTGTTAGTGAGAGACGAGGGTGAGTTCTGTTCGTTGAGGGTTAGGGTTTCGCCTCTTATGAAGGACTTCCGGGTAGTCCCTAAAAAACCGGCCAGGAATCGTCTTGGTGTCCGTGGCACACGACCAGGCTTATTCAGACTTATTGACATATCTCTCGCGGGGAGGGTATGAATGATATGAGTCTGTCCTGTGCGTGCATGAACGTTACGCTCGCCACGGCTTCACCAGGATGGTTCCTGGTCGCGCGAATAGAATAGACATTCATTTCATCAATTCAATGCGATTTATTTGAAATGAAAGGAAAGAAAACAAAATAATCCATCGTAATGAGTCTATTCAATTGAAAATCGTTGAACACGGTTATTCCCCCAATCGATGACATAGAGATTGCCATTTCGATCGAAGGACAAACTCTCGGGAGACTTGAACTGATTTGCTCCTTCTCCTTGACCATTTCCACCCACAATGACAGTGCCCTGTTTCGCTCCTTTAGGCCAACGCATCACTCGATCATTCCCAGAGTCTGCCACATAGATGGTACCCAATGTATCGACGAACAGTCCGTAAGGATTCGACAATTGTGTCAGAACATTCCCTTTGCCTTCACCTCCAGCGACAACAATTCCTTCTTTTGCACCTTTATTCCATTTCATTACACGCTGATTGTTTTGCTCTGGCACGTAGACAGTCTGTTGTTGATCGACAAAGATGTAGGTCGGATAGTTGAGTTGATTGAGACCAGCACCTTTACCATTGCCACCAGCCACAAGAGTTCCATTCTTGTCTCCTATTTGATATCGTTTTACTTCATGTTTTTCAATGTCAGAGATGTAGAGACATCTCTGATCATCCATGGCCAATCCACAACAACTGATATTGTCGATGAGGATTTCTCCTTGAGTTGTACCACTACGACGAGACCATCGTACGACTCGTCGATTTCGTTGATCACAAATAATGAGACTATCCGTCTCTTTGTCAATCAATACATCGCTTGGATAATACAATTGATCCAATCGATTTCCTTGACCATGACCACCAGCTACTACTTGTCCATTCGTATCGCCCATCTTCCATTGGATGATACGCTCATTGCCCCAGTCAGCAATGACCATCGTTTGATCATCATCAACGAAGAGACCAAACGGACGGTCGAGTTGATTGGTGGCCTTGCCTTGTCCATGGCCTCCAGCAACGGTCACTCCCCTCTGGACCCATCGGGCATCGGCTGGAACATTTGGAATTACTACAATGAACGAAAAAACAGAAATCGTCGTTGTCGAAGGGACTCTGTCTCTCGTGAGAGCAAGCGCTAGAAATATGACATTCGTCTTTGAGAATGCTCATTCCACAGATAAAAATTCAGAAGTATTTTCCTAGTTTTTTATGAGAAAAAAGGATTTGATAAAGATTCTTACATCTATGTTACTTTTAGTTTTTGCCAAGATCTTTTTGATCATAAAAACAATACCTTGAGATTGTTGTAAGGAGGTTTCCCAAGAAAGAGTAATACTAATTCCATGTAAGTTTTTGATAGAAAAACATAAGGATCTGAGGATTTTATTTAGAATTGTAAGAATTCAGAATCTTTTTGGCAGAATGATCATTTATATGAACATCAGAGAAGATTCTATCTGTATCTTGTGAGAAGAATATCGAATCGTTGAACAACAAAATATCAAACCTAATCCCTATGTTTTTTAGGAAACCTTAAGGATACATGATTTTCTGTATGATGAATGTAGATCTGCCGAAGAATCTCCTAAGTATTTGCATAGAGAATGCCGGTAAAATTTTATAAGGCTTTTGATAAGTTATGTCAAGCTGTTCGAAGAACAACCGTGGTGTACTCTGAGTAAGATCATGACAAGGTTTGGATACAGGAGAAACTGAACAAAGTTGAGAGGATTTCACGCGAATCTATGTAATCTGAGAGGGCTTCTACTTTTGCAAATGTTGAAAAGATGGATGTCAATCCTAACGGAGCTCCCCAGTAACAAACATTGGGATCTATGGCTTTTATGGGCTTTGAAAAGAAAGTGTTCTAAAATGCTATTTTTAACTTTTGATGAACACCATCTTCAAACCATTGTATTAGGATCCTCAAAGAGAATCTTGATGACTAAATAAGATACTCTGTCAAAATCTGAAAATCTAAAAATAATGAGTATCTTCTATGAGGATCATGTTATAATCCTTATGTAGTACTTGTTCTGAGAAGTCTTCTGTAAGCTCGTATGTTATGGATATGTTCAGGAGGATCTGAAGAGTAAGTATTTTGGAATGGTTGATATCAGAGTGAAAATGGAGTAGGAACAGGACAGAATGGAGGTGCCTATCTTTAAATTTTATGAGAAAGTTTATAAAGCAATAAATTAATATGCTAGTAATTGATATCAATCGTAAATTTATTTGTGTTCAAAATCTTATGTGTATTTAACTCTCGGATGCCCAAGCTAATTTTTGGAGATAATATGATAACATGTATTAATATTTCTATGATTTTGATTGATGGACTGGTATTCTTGCCCAAATTAGATTATTTTCCTCTTCAGTCTTGTTAAAGTAATTATTAGAATTATAGTTTTCCTTTATTTAGAACAGTAAATACAAAAAATTCCATGAACAAAGTGCTCATCACAAACAGACCTTGGGAGGGTTTTCACTGAATTCTTCTGAACATAATAAATATCATAGGCACAAGGGCGGATATATATAATAGAAATCTCGGGACAATAATAATCTTCTCGAAGATTTTGAACAAGAATATTGAAAATAGACTAGATGCGATGCCATGCATAAAAAGAATGCAAGAGAGAAGGGATATGCATGAGATGTAAAGTAGACAGGAAAGAAAAAAGAGAAATGTACTAGAAGAGATCAAAAAGAGACAGTGAAAATAGATGCATTTTTTTAAAGCTTTTGTCAGATTCAGAATAAAAGATATCATTGGAAATCTTATTAGATTCTGAGATTAAGAAATATATAAGAACAGAGTAAAGGACTCTGATCTGATTTTATCTGACTAAATAGGATTCATAAACAAAAGAAAGTTATAACATTACATAATCCAAGTCTCGTCTGCTCTTATTTGATTCTGTGTCATCTATCATGTTCTTTTACTTATTTGAGAATTGTTGATTCAATAGTTTCTATTATGGAGAAATGTACAAAATACAGAAGATTATCCTGTGCAAGACAGTGTTTTCTATTAATGAAATCGTAAAATCATATTTGACATCAGAAATAAATGCTTTGTGTAATAGATTAGTCAAAGTACAGATATATCTCGGAAATTTTCACATAATAGAGAACGTTTTTCTTCACAAAATATTTCGACAGAAAAAATATCGATGTCGAAGTTTTTCTAACACTATCAGGAGATAAAAAATAATATTTTTTTCTATGTATCCTCTACTATATATCCCCCTGGAAAAACAATTAGACTCGGTATTTTCGATATATTGTTACTATAAATTGACATTTTGAGAAAAGTTATTATATATTCGGATAGCCCGTGGAATTCTCTACAACTCTCTATGTATAAGTTTTGCATTGAATTTGTTTCCTGGAAATAAATTCAAGAATACTAAAGGTACCCTTATTGCCAGATTCCCACAAAAATTTACATCTCATTGGTTTTTTCAAATTTATTTCCAGGAAACAAATGCAATTCAAAACTTATACATAGAGAGTTGTAGAGAATTCCATGGGCTATCCGAATATATAATTACTTTTCTCAAAATGTCAATTTATAGTAACAATATATCGAAAATACCGAGTCTAACTATTTTTCCATGGGGATATATATCACATGTAAATTATCATCAAAAATCGATTATACTTAATCGACATTCACTATCGTTCAATACCAAAGTAAAATAAATAACATAGTCGATATCAGTACAAAAACTACAACAGAACATACACTAATGCCTTTAGTTCGTCAGGGATGCATTTTTCATGAATACTTTTCTTTAAGCTGTAATATCTCTGATTTGACGTATTTTTTATATTGATATAAAATATACTATTCAATTTGGTCTAACATAGAGCTAGGATGAAAAAAAATCGACGAAATACACCAATTCATTTTTCAAAGTTTCCGATGATTTTATGATTGAAATTTAAAACAATCTATTTTCTCAATACTAAAACAAAGTCGAGAAACCAAATGATATAGAGGCATTTCATGTTCGACGTTCAATGATTCTAATGAGAGATGACACTGAATCTAAACTCTTCTCATTAAAGAGAAACATGTATTTATAAAAATATCTATCGACATATGATTGTTTTCGTAAATGTCGAAATCCAACCCTTATTTTAAGTAGATATCTATATCTATCCACTAGTTGAACGATCTTTCCCTAAAATTTATGATAGAATTACGTTGTCTGTTACATGATCTATATAAATAGTATAGGATGTGTAATGTGTAGTCGGAATATGGAGTTTCATATAAGACAAACAAGTCAAAAAAAATTTTCCTTTAACTTCATTGAAATCAGACATGAAATGAATGGAATAGATCTTTTTCTATCATGTTCAAACATTTCAATTCATTTTCATTCCAATTATCAACAGACAGATTCAATAAAATTATGTTTATGAGATAAAATATAATATTTGACTATATTTATGATAATGATCAAATTTCATACGATTTCATGTACGCTTAGTCTGGGTTTGTTGAACAAATGACTATGGTTACGTTATTGTCTAATAGAGAGCGAATGAAAATTAACCTTCTTATCAGCGTAAAAAATTAAAAGAAATTACATGACAATGAAGAAATGAACAAATTGTATTTTTTATTTAGAAGTCATGAACGTAATGGAATTTTGTTAATTATCGAACTCCATGTTCAACTAGATGATAACTTTCTAGTAAACTTTGTCAAGAAGATGAAATCCTGGCATTCTAATTTTCAAACGAAATTTTCATATGATTTGCCTATTTTCTATCAATAAATTTTGATATGAACAAGTTAACAGTCCAAGATGAATTTTCTTGAGGTTTCAACTATGTAAAGAGCTTTATTGTAGTACTTAATACTTATAGAATATTGATCGTGTGAAAATGACATTCGAAATAAATATTTTCGCTCTGATGATAAATGAATGCAGTACGAGAATTGTAACTTGCTTTCAAACACGGAACTTTTTATAATCTAACAGATGACACAGGTTCTCTCTTGCAATAATATACTAATAATACCATCAGATTCTGCATGGCCAGGACGATAGATAAAAAAAGCGTTTACACATTTCAATATGTATCTACCAGAAAAGAGTTGATGAATCACCAAAAACATATGAAGCGTTGCTTAATACAGATCAATTTTAAATACATCTTGTCTGTTTACACTCATTTTTGATGACTAATCAAATAGGGTTCACCATTTTTACATTGACTACTTAAAACTAGTTAGTACATGAAAAGTTTTAGTCATTTTAGAGATTACAATAGTTTTTTTTGAGACCATGAATAGTTTTCTTTTTCTTTTTTCTATTGGATCTTGTTTTTTTTAGTTTCAATGTTCTACCATATTAAAACATCTCCAAATGCCTCAAATGTCATTAAGAAATATACAGATATAGATACCAGTAAAGCAGTGAGAGATTCAAATTTCACACGTATTTGCAATACTTGGTGAAGAAAATAATATAAAAAAATAATTTATAGATATATTTGCATATGTTGCGAGTATCTTATTTTCAAAGTTTGAACCTTTCATCTCTCTATCATGATCTATTTCATTGTAATCGCTAAAAAATTCACTGATATTCTTCATTTAT